GCCCCGGGAGTCTCAGGGCCGAGGCAGGCCCAGCCAGACTCAACTCACCCCGCTAGGCCTCGAAGCACCGAGGGATGAGGGAAAGACATCACCCCAGCAGGCCCCAGCCCTGCCTCAGCGTCCAGGTGTTAAAATCGGCGGAGAGTGGATCTGCATCCTTCTTCCTCAAGTTTTGCCGTGTGGTACTTAGCAGTCGTAGCGAGGTGGTAAATGTTAGTCTTTTAAAAGCGTCACTGCTGCGTTTAAAATGCTGGAAGCGGTGTGTCAGTAGAGGGTGAGGTGTTACTGTGTGAAGTGCCTCAGGGAGCAATTGAGGACCTCTTAGCAACAGAAGTCCAAATGTCTGCCACCCAGCTGTGAGGTTCCCAGCACAAGCAAGACATGGGCCTGATTGAGCACATCCAGAAGAGGTACATGAGAATGGTCAGAGGGCTGGAGCACCTCTCCTATAAGGACAGGCTGAGAGAGTTGGGGTTGTTCAGCCTGGAGAAGGCTCCAGGGAGACCTTACAGCAGCCTTCCAGTACCCAATGGAGGCTTATAAGAAAGATGGAGACTTTTTACCAAGGTCTGTAGGACAGGACAAGGGGCAATGGTTTTAAACTGAAAGAGGATAGGTTTAGATTGGACATAAAGAAGACTTTTTTTTATGAAGACAGGAACTGGCACAGGTTGCCCAGAGAAGTTGTGGATGCCCCATTACTGGAAGCGTTCAGGTAAGGCTTTGGGCAGCCCCAAGTAAAAGACATCCCTGCCTAAGGCAGGAGGGGTTGGACTAGATGATCTTCAAAGGTCTCTTCCAACCCAAACCGTTCTGTGATCTTGCAAATAGGTGAGAGTTTAGCTCTGATGAGGAACCCTCCAGTCACCCCCATCACTTGAATCAGATATGTTAACATATACTTCCTAAAGAAAATATTTTTTTAGTTCTTTAAAAATACTTCCCCAGTAGCAGGTAAAAGGTGATCAGAAAGATGGATTTCTTTGTTGTTTTTGTTTTGAAAGCTTTGCAAAGGCTGGACCTGTTTATGCTGCTAATGACTTGGTGAAGAACGGAGAGATGCTTGTGCAGGTCATGCCCAGCTAATATATGACCAGCAGTGTGTCTTGCCCCACAAAATGCAAATGGAAGATGCAGTGAATGTAGGGAACAGGTGTATAACTTCCTTCCTTCTGTCTACTTCAATAAATCAACTCCCTCACTATACTGAGGTGAAGAGGAGAGCAGTGTAGGACGTAGGGCAGTGGGTTTAGGTGGCATGCTGGAAGTCAGGGAACTTGGGTTCTTCTCTTTACTCCCCTACAGATATGCTGTGTGACATCCTGTGCCTCATTTTCCTGCTGTGTAAAATGCATATATTTACGTGCAAGGATGCTGTCAGAATTGGTTCTGGAGAGAAAATACTTAGACAAACTAGTAATGTTCCAGCAAGGTGTATTGGAAGTGGCACGGTCCCTGTGCGCTTGCCAATGATCCCTTTTTACTTTCTGTTTTGTTTCCTCTTTTCTTCCATTTTGTCACTGTTGCGAAAAGAAAACAAAACTGAAACCTGCTTGTAGGAAACAGCACAAGTACTAGAGGAGCCGCCAGAGGCATGTGGCTGTTTCTTTCCCTCAGCTGCTTCTCCACTGTCTTCTGATTTGCAGCTTCATTTGCTCTGTCATTACTGGAGGGCAGTGGAAGGGCTTCTAGCTCTTACAGATGAATTAGTCGCCTTAGGTTCCCAAAGTTCAGTTCTGTGGCAATGAAAGTGAAAGCCAGCAGTGAAGAGTTGCAGAAGGACTTTGTGACAGCGAGTGATTTGACTATAACATAGCAGATGAAAATCTAAAATATGTGGAAAATGATGCATGTCAGAGCAACGATCACAATGCTGATGCCCTCCATACTGATACCACTTAGGAAAGAGGTCAGGGGAACTATAATACGTAGTTCTGTGAAAGTGTCAGGTCCGTGCTCAGAAGCAGTCCAAAATGTGATTGAAATATTAAGAACTAAGGAAAAAAAACAAGAGAAAAATATGGAGCGCCATTGTGACTTTGTATTGTAAATGGTAGCCCACCCTTTTGGAGGTCGTTTGCTCTTGGAATGTAGCAGCAGTAAAGGGATTGAGAAGTGACAGGGATGATCAAAGATGTGGAGCAGCTTCTGTACAAGGAACAGCTACATAGTTTCAGATTCTTCAACTTGAAAAAGAGACAGTAGGAGAAAGAGTAACAGATCCGTGCTGTCACGGGTGTTACTGGAGGAGCTGAGTAAGGAACAAAGATTTCTTGCCTCTTCACGCAGATCCTGGTGTGTCAGTGGAATCCGTGAGCAGCAGGCTTAAGGGCTGCAAAAGCAAGGCATTGTTTACATGAAATGTAATTAAACTATGGAACTGGAACCATGCCCTTAGCCTCTCCCTTCTCGCTTGAGAGCACCCAGCCAGATCCATTGCCTCGTTTAGCTCGGTACCTCCCTGGCAGTGGTCTGTAGCAGAAAGTTAGAGAAGAGCACGAGGCCAAAGCAACGCTCCTGTGGGGAACAGGATTCTGAGTTCAATGGGACAGCGGATCCAGCTGGCTGCTTCTGCAGTGGGGAATGGCCAAGAGCTGTCCTTCCACCACTTCAGGGTTCCTGCAAAGGCACTGGAGTAACCCGGTGGCTGACCTTGACTGAGTGTCCTCTGTTCTCCTGCAGCACCAGGTTTTCTCCTGAGTCTGTAAGAACACCAGGGACTGTAGACTCCACCTTTAGCCTCTTCCTCACAAAATTCCCAGAGCCCCTGGAGCTGGATCCTCTGACTGGGCCTGAGCAGGGCCTATGTATCTGCATCGATTCCAGGTATTAGCTTGTTGCAGAGAACTTATTCCTGAGTTCTAGACCGTTCAAACTCTAGCTTGTTCTGCTTTTTAATTTCTTTCTGTCTTTTTCTGTTTGTTTTTTATTGTGGCCACACCTCAAGCACTGTGCTCAGTTTTGGGCCCCCCACTACAAGAAGGACATTGAGGTGCTGGAGCGTGTCCAGAGAAGGGCAATGAAGCTGGTGAAGGGTCTAGAGCACAAGTCTGATGAGGAATGGCTGAGGGAACTGGGGTTGTTCAGTCTGTAGAAAAGGAGGCCGAGGGGAGACCTTATCGCTCTCTACAACTACCTGAAAGGAGATTGTAGCCAGGTGGGGGTTGGTCTCTTCTCCCAAGTAACAAGTGATAGGACGAGAGGAAATGCCCTCAAGTCGCACCAGGGGAGATTTAGATTGGATAGTAGGAAAAATTTATTCACTGAAAAGGTTGTCAATCATTGGAACAGGCTGCCCAGGGAAGTGGTTGAGTCACTGTCCCTGGAGATATTTAAAAGATGTGTAGATGTGGTGCTTAGGGACCTGGTTTAATGGTGGACTTGGCAGTGCTAGGTTAACGGTTGCACTTGATGATCTTAAAGGTCTTTTCCAACCAAAATGATTCTATGATTCTAATATTTCTATTTCTATACATTTCTATTTGTTTCTATTTATTTAATGTTTAGGTTCAGAGACTGATGTGATGGTCACTGTATAGAATTATACTGGAAATTAGTCCCTACCCTACCTTGCTTATAAGAGATAGAAGGATGGGAGGAAAAAAACCCAGATGTGTTGAGGTGAAGTGATTTGCTGTGATTAAGTAAATGCTTAGTGGCAGAGCAAGAGGAATGAAAAAAAAAAACCAAAACCCTTTTTCTCGCTTAAGACCACCCCCTGCACTTTATGGAAGGGAGAGGGGAACTAACAAAATCAGAGTTTGGCTGTTGGCCCTGGCGCACAGAAAGGTGTGCGAGATTTGCTGGACTGGGAGATTTCCTGCCTGTTTTGTACTTGAACTTTACTTCCTCTCTCTCACTAGAATAATTTAACTTCAAGTCTTCTTATTTCTTGAAACTAAAAGCAGACTTTTCTTACTCTTATCCTACAGGAGTTTGTGCTGTCAGAGGTGACATCTGCAGCAAAGGGCAGTTTGGAGTATCACACCTAGTAGGAGTGGGAAATTGTTGAAGATTTCTGCGTTGGACTTGCACAGAAACCACAGACAAAGTAAAACTTCTGCTACTGATGTGTGGCATGATGCTTTAAACTGCTGGTGTGGGATGTGGTTAAAGGCTTATCCAGAAGCATTTAGAGTGTTTTGTGAAATAAGTAGCTGGCCTTAAAATTTTGCAGCTGCTGGGAGAAAAGAGAGACTATGTGAAGAACAACAGTTAAGACTAGAGTGGGTATGGCCAGAAAAAGAGGACAGATGTCCATGGGGCAAATCCCAAGCTACAGAGAAAATTATGTCACTCATGTTAGCGCTCTACCTCATTCAGAGAGAATGTTTAAATCTTCTGACTCTGTCATCTGCCCACTTTTACTTGCAAGCCTCTCCATGCTTCTTTGCTACACCCTTTTTACAGTAAGGAATTGGTGTTTCTTCCTTGTTTTCTGTGAACTCCTGGAAGGCACAGGAGAAGTTTGGGGACAGCTGTTTTTCTCTCCTCGGTTGACTTGCAGACCCACATGTGGCTGAATTAGCTTAAGGAAAGCACTGCTATGAATGATTGACCTCCCCCGAATAAAAGGGGATTCACATCTAGGGCATGACTTGCTGGCCTGCTCTTGGGCCTGTTGGAGCAGATATTGCCATGGAAGCTTGGAAGCTTTTCTGTCACCCCTCCATGACTTGTTAGTGACTTTCCAAGAGGAAATAAACTAATTTTCCTCCTGCTCTATCTGCTGGAGCTCCTGGGAGCTGGTTTCCATCCCACTGCTGTCCCAAGAGCAGGCTATGCCTATTCTACTAGTAGTTGTTACTGAAGGAGCAAAGCACTAAGGTTCAGGGGGGTGTAGGTGAAGGAGCAGTTAGAGGGCAAGTGCTAGCAAGCTTTGCTTACCTCTGTTCGTCCTTCTGGGCATATGATAGTTGCATCAATTGCTTTGTGTTTTGTCCCAGTTTTCCTGCTTTAGGTGTTTTCCGGATAATGGCGAAGATGGTGAGAAGAACATGTGCGTTTTGTCCAGAAGGGGAGTCTGGTTCTGTAATGTATATTGCCAAAGAGCGAAATATTGCAGCTCATCAGGATTGTCTGGTGAGTGGCTTTTAGTTGGTCAGTACCTAAGAGGAATGGAGAAGATGGGCTGAAGGAGAAGTTTCCATTGCTTTTCTTTTTTTGACTCTGCAAGGGTGTCTGAATTAAAAGGTTGGTTGCCCAAACCACCAAGCTTATATTAGATTGAAAAGCTATGAAAAGCAACAGGGCTTGGCTGGAATTTTGGAAAGGGGGGAGGACACAGCTTCACAGCTGGACACATTGATTTGTGGTGTTTTCATGCACATCTGTTCCTGATCAATGAATCTGGACACACACATAGAGGCTAGCAGTAGGAACAGGTCTTCTCAAGATACTAAATTGAATGAGGCTTCTGAGACCACAGAAAGTTGCGTACTTACTTAAACCTTTGCAGGAAAATATTCACATAACTTGATATATCATCAAGGTAAAAAACTTCCCAGTCTGTGCCTTATGTAAAATAAGGAATAAAAATATCAGAAGTTAATTATATAAAAATACCTGTGAAGCTCTAAGTGTGCTGTGATTCTAGAATGCATTTACTCTTGCTGTCAAAATGCCTCCCTTTCATTCTGGGATCTTAGTGGAGCAGGTTCTTGGTGTGCAGGATCAGTTACACATGCCATGTTCTCCCTTCAGTGAGGGTCGCCTAGTGCAAGAGATGCGTCCACTGCTGAAACAGCTTTCTGGCTTTCACTGTTCCAGCCTTCTTATTCTCACAGGGTTTATGTTTACATCTTTATTTTTCTACTACTTTTTTTTTTTTTAGCAGAATGTTTCAGAAACATACCTATTTTACAATGTTACTTGGATGTTTTGTTTGAAACAGGTTTTATTAGGGCTATAATGTTGCTTCAGTGTTGAAACTTTTTCCTTCTCTCTTTTTTTAACAATAACTACTAATTTCTCTGCCCTGAACTTCTCTGCATGTTTGGCTTTTTTGCAGTTAGCTGTCACCTCCTGAGCACACAGACTGTGCCTGCCAGTTGACATAAGGGTAGCTTACTGTTGTTTGGAACTAGCTATATATAATGATTAGAAAAAAGTCGCTGATAACTTCCCCTTCCTCACTTATTCTCATGGCTCAGCTCTTCTATGGGAATTAAAGTGACCCAAATGTGCCATGTATATGGTTTTTTATGGGTTTCTCCCAGGCTTTGTATGATGTTCCTGTGTTTCTCATGCAGTCAACTGTTGTCAGCATTGGACTGTATGGAAATTTTATTAAGAGAAATGTTGCGTCCAGCGGTAAGCCTGAACAACTGGACAGATAAGATGTTCAAGGTGTGGAGGTCTGTCAGCCAAAGAGCTTCTCCTCCTTACTCTTCACAGCCTGGAATTCCAGACTTTTTTCATTCACACTACTTACTAAGTTCACTTTCTCATCTTGTTATCTTTTCTTAGTTCACCTTCAGGTCATGTGAAATCTCCTATATAGACAGAGGAATGTTTGACTGGGAAAAGGTTTAAGCACAGCTGCTTGTTCAGTCTAGGTGAAACCTCTTAAAAACACAGAGAAAAATCAGCTTTACTTAGGTAGGGCAGATGCAAGAAGAAAAGGTACACCCTTCCCCTCTTTTCTTTGCAATGCACTGGTGACTGAGTCCCTCTATTAATTCTTAATATTGTCTCTTTTGTCTTTAGTTATTTTCCTCAGGATTTGTGGAATCTGAAGAGTATAACCCAGATAATCTGGATATAAGGTTTGATGTGACATCAGTGTTGAAAGAAGTCAAGAGAGGAAAGCGGCTGGTAAGGAGTCTCTGAATTTTACACTTAGTCCTATCTTGTAGTACTGAAGGTTGTCTGTCCTGTTTTATGCTTGAAAAAAAAATGCAGAAAAGTACTTGGTCCTTCTGATCTAGTAAGATTAGGGAAATTACAGATTTAGAGTTAGAAACATTGCTTTGACGTTATATTTGGTGAAATTTAGTTAATTTTGTACTAAAATGTGTTGTTTTTTCCATCCTATAAGTCTTTAGACTAAAGTTTCCTAAGAGACTTTGGTAAAGGACTAAGCCAGTGCCTGAAACAAAATTATGCAATCCATAAGTGTAAAGGGAAACACCTTCTGGTTTTAGCAGATGGAAGCTTATTTATATGAGGTTTTCTTATTGGCTTTGTCCTCAGCTGTCCTCTTCCCTTATGTCTTGCGTGGAACTCTTTTCAGTATGAAGTTAGCCTAGAAAATGTAAATACAAGCACTGAGACTAATAGGTATTGAAATAACTTGGGCAAGACTTAGGGGAGGGGAGGAAGTTGCCCAGTGCCCTCACGTGGCTCTTTGCATCATTTTACAAATTCATCAGTATGAAACAGAAGTAAGGTAGCAAAAATCATGACTGCAGTAGGAGTTTGCAGGAATGATCTTGCCTGATGAGTTATACAGAGGCAATGTGCTATGAAAGATTTGATTTTCCCACAGAGGATAGTATTTGCCTCATACAGTAAGATTTTCAGTAGCTGCCTGTAATGTTTTCCTGCTAAAGCTCATCCTCTTCTAGGTGTGTAACTTCTGTCGCAAGAAAGGAGCCACTGTGGGATGCGAGGAAAGAGCCTGTCGCAGAAGTTATCACTACTTCTGTGCGCTGTGCGATGATGCAGCAATAGAAACAGATGAAGTAAATGGAGTCTACCGGTATCGAACCAAGTATTTTCTAACTAATTATTGTCAAGGCTTTGGTGGTGGTGTCAGGAAGAGAGATTTAAAAATTGTGTGGTTTTTAAAGTTTTTTAAAAAGGAAATATGTTCTCATCTCTCTTGGTTCACAAGCAATGGGGGAAATGTTTTCCTTTCACAGGAAAACATCACAGCAGTGGGAAGGAATCTATTCAGTGTTTGAGCCTGCAACACACTTGAAAGATCAGTAGGCCAAAACTGAGGAAGTCAGTCCTTACTGGCTATCTAGCTAGTCTTCAAGGACCAATATTTTTGTTAATGTCACTCAAATTCTCAATTTCTGTTGGTTCAGAAGCTTCAGTAAATGTGGTCTGAGCACAGAGCAGGCTATAGCACTTCTGTATCTGTTCACATTAGGCAAATTCTGGTAATTTTCCCTCCATATGCTAGCTGAGAACTTTGTATTTCCACCAAAGACCTTCTTATATTTCAAGTACGTTGCTAGCATTAACACAATTAAACAGACGTTAAGTAAATTTTCTGTCCTGATCATGCTAGTCCTGGTGTCCGCTGCCTTCAAACTGCCTGCGTTGCTGTTAGATGGAACGAGTTGTTTGGAGGATGGAGATGAAGGGGTTGAGAAATTGGGACTTTAGGGACCTTTTGGAATGCTGAAGTTATAGTAAAGTCTGAGGTGCATAAACCCCCCCGATGTCCATTTCTGTCCAAGGGTAGCAAGACCACAGACCATGTTAATCTTAGATTAATTTGGTAGACCATCTAGTCGCTACAGGAGGTGGACTAGTGCAATCCTTAGTAGTAGTGGAAGATGTGTCCTTTTGTGTCAAAACATTAGCACTCCTGGCTGCTTCACTAGGGCTCTCAGTCCAAAATAAGTATGTCTTTCTGCAAGGCTGTAAGCCCAGCTGTATAGGGAAGATGATATATTTTGTTTACGCTTATAAAGTCTCCAGCGTTCTGCAAAGCTTGTGAAAAAGTGTAGCTGGAAAGATGGAAACTTTCCATGACCACAGAATAAATGGCTCTCATATAGCCTTAGACAGGATACCTGTTCTGAATATATAGTTTGATTTAGTGGTTTTCTGAGCTGGTGACCTTGGAGGTTTGGAAGAGGGACCTTTAAAAATGCCTTGTATTAAGTCACTGCGTGAGACTAGAAATATTGAAGAGATGAAAAAGGACTGGATTAGAGGAAGATGGCGAGGCAGGTTTAAGGGATTTCAACCCAAAGACTTTTGCACATTATCAGTGGCATAAATAAAGCACAAAATTTATAGCTAGCCTGAAATTATTGGAGAGAAGAGGAACAAGACTTGAAAAACAGTGGACATGGATTGACAGCCCCCTGCACTTCTTTGTGGTGAAATATAACATGCTGAAAAGCATATCAAAAGAAAAATTCACTCAAGAGAGAGCAAGCTGGTGTGTTTAAATTCTGAGTTGCCATCGTTGTGATGATGAGCAGTGATTACCAAAACAAATAGAGCAGAACAAAAAAGAGAAGGCATACAGTGCTATGGAAGTGGTGAGTAAGAGTAGAAGTGGGGAAATAAGTGTAATTTCTACTGCCATCCTGCAAAAACGATAAAAGGGAAGTGCTTCCAAATAAAGTGTCCTGAGTAGTAAAAGGTATTGCCTCTTCTTTGTAAGATGTACTTAGGAAGGTTGTTTTTAACTGAGGAAAGAATAAAATTAAAGGGAGGGGAGGGAAAAAACCCAACCTCCAAAGGGCAATATTAGAAATTCAGGGATGTAAATAAGGTGCCTCCAGTACTTAGCTTTCTGATTAAATTGTTAGGTGTGCATAAATCTGGGGGGTTTTGTGCGTCAAAATGAATTTCATGCTAAAAAGCTGGCTCGTTAAGGAAACAGACTGCATTTCTAAGGTCAGTGCTTCTGTTTTGTTAAAATAAAAGAATGAGAATAATTAGAAAATGTCCTAGTAAATGCAGCTCCCTTTAAAAATTGCTTCCAAACACTTGAGCATTAGTCTTGGCAAATAGATTTGTAATGAAGAGATGAGCTAAAGCACACTCTTTACAAGGCAATTTTGCTTAAAAAGTGATTTGGGATCCTTCTGTAAGAAAGGCATATTATAGAAGCTGGTTCACATTCTGTACACATTATTGTATCCAGAAGATAAGGAATATTTCCAGCTGTATTTGTTGCGTTTTGCCTCTTTCAAGGAGTTCACATTGCTTTCCTAGAACCAGAGAAAACATTCCCATCTCACATGTTACTAAAGTCTTTAAGGAACGAATGGATCGAGCAGCTTTAAGCTACCGGATCTCAATCAGGGTGCCCTACTTCTGCAGGATTTGGGGACCACCTCATCAGCACTGGGCAGGGAAAAGGGAGGGGCATAGAGATCTCCAAGCAAGTAACCAGTACTGTGTGTGGTGGTGCAGTGCCGTGTGGCTATGCCAGCACATCATGCAGGGCTTATGAGGTCAAGCTGACTGGTAAGCACATACATCTAAAGAGGTTCTGGACCTGGCCTGAGCAATACAGGGCAAGGGGGCAGACCGGCAGTAGCTACGATCAAGCAATGTTAGTACTGTGGTGTTTCATCTTGACAGTGTTAATCTCATTTTAATAACGCGTTTCAATAAGAGTACCTCTGCCACAGTGATTGCCGCACCAGATGAAATGTGTCTGACTCAGGATTTGAACAGTGAGCAAGTCCAAACAGAGTGGGGTAATGGAACTGGTAATTCAGAGCTTCAGCGTTCGGAGCCCAATGAGGCTCTAAAAGTACAAAAAACAAGCTTATGCATGTATGTGACTTTACAGCAGGTGCTTGCCTAGGTGGGTAATGCTGAACAAAAATCCTGATAATTTTTTAAAGCGTCTTTCAGTTTACATTCAATGAAAAGAGGGGAAAATATCTGTTAAAATCAGTCAGCATAACTCTGTTTATGTATTTATTAATACTTTTTCTCTTTTTCTTAAAATTGAACTTAAATTTTAGAGTGTTCTGCCCAAAACATGACCCAGGCAATAGGACCAATCACTATGGTGAGTTTCTTTGATGGCTTCATTGATTTCATTTGTTTTAAAAGTTTGCATCCTACAGTCAATAACTCATTTGAACTAAATAAATGCTACTCCACCTTTATAATTGAGCGGTGGATTTCTAATCTTGCAGGAGTGGTTTGGTTGAAATCCCTGCGTATGCACAAAAATTGAGAAGGTTTTTTTGAAGTAGGAAATGTTTATATTTAATCTTCCCCGAATCTCCCTCAAAACTGACTTAAAATGCTGTGGACCTGATCCTTCATGGAATTACTCTGACTCTGTGTGGGCAGGTAGGCCCAAGCAGCTTGTGAAACCCATGTGAGGTATGAGCGCCACGCTGACAAGTGATGCACAAGCTTGCACTTGATTAGCAAAGAGAGGGCTGTTACAGGAGTGGTCACCTTGGGATTTTGATCTGTAGTTCCATTAAAACGTTCACATTTGCATCTTCTGTATTCACCGCAGTATTTTTTTCTTAAGTAGGGCCTTTCATTCTGAAGGATCCCAAAGAGCTTTTTAAGTGTAACAGAAGGGTTATACAACCCCTGTTGAAGGATTGCTTCCTTTGCTACAGAAATGCAGCTTAATTTGGCAGTCCTGGTCCTTGCTGATTCAGAGTTAGTCAGGAATCTCCCAAAATTAACCAAAGTTGTGACTTTGTTAACCTAATGTATGCGACTCAAAAAGGAGTGGGTCCTAGCCCTGCCTTCACTTTGAAGTTAAGCTCCATCGAACTGTAAGCCCTAATGCGAAGAGTGGTGTGCTCCCACTGAAGTCTAGTGAACTTTGGCTAATCTTCTTGACAAATTTTGGCTCCACCCTGATGCTGCTCAAGGGGCGGGTTAGGTGATTATCATTTAAACTTTTAGTTGTAGTATCTGGGGCTTCTTAGCCAGACATACCGTCCATTTAACACCTGATATCGCTGTGGTTCACTAACCAAACGCAGCTTCTTATTTCACTTAGTAGTTTTGCTTTTTACTTATCCATAGGTTTGAGCCTGACATTCCCTCCCTTTTTAAAATTAATTTGATTTCTGTGGTCCAATAGTTGTCAGTCTGTTGGGTCTGTCCAGGGTCCCAGCTGGTCTCCTGCCCAGGTTCTAGACAGGGCCAGGATTGCTTTATTTCCAGTATGAGATTAAGGCATTAAGCCCAGCCGTGTAGACCACCTCATAGAATCATAGAATGGTTTGGGTTGGAAGGGACCTTAAAGATCATCTAGTTCCAAACCCCCTGCCATGGGCAGGGACACCCTCCACTAGACCACATTGCCCAAAGCCTCATCCAACCTGGCCTTGAACACTTCCAGGGAGAGGGCCTCCACAACCTCTCTGGACAACCTGTTCCTCACCACTCTAACAGTCAAGAACTTTATAACATCTAATCTAAATCAACCCTCCTTCAGCTTAAGGAACACTTAAATCTTAAGAGTTTGAAGGTCTTGATATCTTCAAGTGCTGCATATACAATGTATGGCCTGTTCCCTGAGAAGAGAGGTTGTCCTAGAGGACATCTTCAGAAGCACTTAGTTTGGAGACCCTGTGTTTGAGAGGTAAATGGGTTCTGCTGGCAGTATCTGCCCTGCCTCCTGAATGAGCATCTCCCACCTCTGTCTGAGAGAGTATCTCTACCCCAGGAGGTGGGTAGCAGCTGTGAGAGTTGGGTAAATGACACTTGGTTCCCCAAGCCCAATGTCTGCTGCCTCTGAGTAGCTCATCGATGCATGTGTGGTGCTCAGAATAGCTGGGGTAGCTGCTGGTTAGTTGGCTGAAGGAGCAGGTACTCTGGCCTATCTGGGCAGGCAGGGGACACCTGTGCTGAGTGCGTTTGCAGGTCTGCACAGAGTGGGGAGCGAGACAGGCTAGGATGGAAGCACTGTGGCTCCATGGTAGAGTTTGGACTTTCAGGATCCAGCTCAGGTGAAGTAGCTCAGCCATTCCTCTGGGCCGGCTGAGCCAGCACTGGGCTGTGTGGGAGCAGGAGCTGGTACAAAAGGGCTGCCTCTCCAGGCTTGTTTTTTCCCCAGTAGCTTGGAGAAAATGGGGTCAAGGAACATCCCCTTGTTCTTGGTCCAGACAACATTCTTGTGCTGAAATGTCAGGGCTCTGCTGTGTGATTGGAAGGGGATAGAGCCAAGAGGTCTCCTAGCAGTCTTTGGACTTGGAAACAGGCTCCAACCTCAGCTTAACTGGAAATGTTGGATGTACCCAGGGTACAGGCTGACAAATAGAAGAGCGGAGAACACTGTGGGGAACAGAAGAGTTGAGCTGCTCTTCGGACTGTGTTCCTCTTGTTTTATAAGGTATCCTTAAAACAAACATCAGGAAGAGCTGAGCAAATCCTACCACAGATCAAAGATGTCCTGCTAGACAGCAAGCAACACTGTGCCTACACCAGTGTCTCCTAGACTGCTCCAAATTAGGCTACGCAGCTTTATTTTGGATGGTGTGAGAGGCTATGATTTGCTTTCAGGCTGTGAAAAACCAAGTGCAGAGCACCATACTCAAATAAGAGTATGCAAAACCCAACCTTGTTTCAACAGCATTCCTGTACCAACAATAACTCCTCATTCCTCCTAATACGATGATTTCTAATAGGAAAAACCTTACTAAGTGCTGCCCAGAGGATGTAGAGTTAAAGGGGAAAGGGGCATTATAACCCCACTGCATTTAAACCCCTCAGGTTTTGGTGAGTGGTTGAACTCCTCTCTAGCTTCCTCTGCTCCTGCCCTGTCTTCCTTGCCAGCATTACCCTTCTCTGCTTGTGATGTTGTAGCTGTTTTTAGCTGCTGCCAGTTACGATGTCAGAGAGGGGCTGCTGCGTGCTGATAGAAAGGACAGAGTGAAAGCAGATGATTTTGTGGAGATCTCATACCATGTCACTAAAAACACTTTGTATCGTAAATAATATTAAACTTAGAAGGCAGATTGCTTCTGGAGACTTTCTAGGAGGTTGTTATGTTGATGGAAAACCTAATGGCATTTGTATGTTTTTGGGACACCTAAAATAATTCTATACGTAGTCTTAGTTTTGAGGGTGTATTAACATAAACAAGGATTGACTGAAAAAGCCAGTAATCTTTAATGAATTTGTGTGAAGTCTTTACCACGTAGAGGTAGTGCTGCTGCTGGGCAGAATCAGTTCACTCTGCCATAATCAAAAATCTTATGTTAAAAAATGAGGTTTGCTTTATACTGAGTTTAAAAGGCAAAGTGATCCCCTAATGCTGTAGTGATTTGCACTTCTTCCTAATGGTTCAGGCTTGTAATTTTTCTTACATGGGAATAATGTGAATTTGACTGAAATGTCAGGTATTTGGGGAAACTGAAACATCCCCTTGCCTTGCTATGCAAAGTGCCTCACTTTTGTAGCTTTTTGGGAAAAGAGCAAATTTGAATGATGTGAAATCATCAGTCTGAGGTTGACACATTTGTTACTTTGTTGTTTCTTGATTCCTAGATGCAGCTAGTAAGAGGAGAAGACGACATGCATTGAAATCTTCCACCATCACAGAACAAATGGTAATTCTGACTTTAAGTAGTTCTAAACCAGGAATCTGCATCTGCTACAGCAAAGGACTTCTTTAGTGAAGTATTTTGACAGTGTTTTCAGAAAGACACTTCCTCATGGAAGCAATAACTTTTTCTTTACAGCCGCCTTGTTTTGATCTTGCCATTTTGTCAAAACAGAACTGTGTGCATTTGGAGCTGCTCCAGGCAGAGCCAACGCTGCCCTCGGGTAACGTGGCACAAAGGCAATAGGAAGCTCTGAACCAGGCTGTGGTCTTGACGTGACCAAAAGAGCTTCCTTTTGGGGGCTCCTTTACTTCTGAAGTACTACGGCCCTCAGATTTGCTTAGGGCTCGACACAGCTTCAATGAAAAACTGCTTTGGAGGAGTCACTTGGCCTTTTAAACGAGCACTTACTCATTTGTGAGTCTGTGCTCACAGTGAATGTGGCAGATTTTCACCGCAGATGAGGCAGTTCTCAGCTCTGCTGGTAAAGATGGCCTTCCCAAGGGTTCAGGAGCCATCAAGCAGAGCACCCCTCTGGTTGCAGGGGGAGTTGTTTTAAGGCTGTTTTTAGAAATCCTGTAAATACAACTTATTTTAAGTTCTGAGGTGATTCTCTTGGCTCCACAAAATATGCATGGGAATGCTCATTGACTCTTGGAGGGGTTGGGATTTCTCCTTTCTAGAGGAATTAGCATCCAGCTTTCCTTGGGAAAAACTGCTGCCTTCCCCAGGTCTTGAGATTAAATGGAGATCATGTGAGGGGACGTGGGCGATCTTTGCAGCTTTTATGTAGTATTCTCATAATGGTAGGTTATTTGTCTCCAACAATTTCTCAGCTGTAAATCCACTTATGCTCATGGTATTATAACTGAGATTCATGTGACCTGTTACTCACGGTAGTGTGCCGTTTCTGCTGCTCTCCAGTGCTGGGATCTCAGAAATCAATACAAACACTGCAGATAAGAAGCTGAGGGGCTCCGGATTTATCAGTGCGGGATAAATTGTTTACTGTTGCATAAGCAATGCATTTTTATGCTGGTGGAGTTTTGTGGCAAAGCTTAAGAATTATTTGTAGTACTGTGGTATGGTGTGGAGCAGAGAATGACTGCGTCCCATTCAAAAGAAAAGAAAAATATTCCCCCTCTCCTCTCACATCCTTTCTAGTATTACATCTGGTCTAGGGATCTAAACATCATTTGCACTGGGAATTAGCAGTAGGTGTTTGTTACAATCTGTGCTATTTGCAAATGCAATGATTTAAGAAGGGTGGTGCCCCAGGTGTTGGACTTTTTTTTTTATAAAGAGTTTTGTTTTGAAGCAGTTTTTGCTTACATTTTTAAAAACTAAATGTCTGGAGAGGAATAGCATTAGCTGTGCAGAGAAGCTGACTATATTTACAGAAATATGGGGTGCTTTTTATCTTTCTGCTAATGTACAGGTAAGATAGTGAAAATGGAGCATTAAGTGTTAGCATTCTGTAAAAATACATTGTTCTGATTTTCTTACAGAGCACAGAAGAGACAGCAGAAGAAAACAGTTTACGAATACTAAAAAGGAAAAACAACAGGCAGAAAGGTGCGACTCACTTCATAGAACATCTAGGAGATACAGTGATCTGTTATGCTGGAGTTCAGAGCGTGGAGATCGTTGATAGCAGCGGTGCTGTGAATGTATCTTTATTATTCTCCTGAGATGAGTGATTCTCCGTGCTCTGGCAAGGGAGCGGAAGTCTGATTTGCAGAATGACGATGCAGCTTTTAATAATTGTGCAGCAAACAAATCTCTCTGCTTTGGCTGAGACTTGCTGTGTGATCTGAGCCAGTGAATTCACCTGGGAATGCCCCCGCTCTGGTTGGCTGCTAGTGTGTCCCCAGCAAAGAGGGGTGCCTCTGCCTGCCCCCCAACTCCTCCATATCAGTACAGTTAAATGTAAAATGGAATCAGTCCTCCTTCACCTCGATCTCCTGGCACTGAGCCCCTCTTGAAGGAGAGGGGTGCGGTTGTGCCAGGCGGCGCTCTGGAAGGGGCTGGAGGAGGTGCTGTGAGGAGCATGGCTTGAGCAGTGGGAGAGGAGTTCAGCACACCTTAGGGGCTCTGGCACACTGGGTAGGAATGGGGATCGCTAAACACTGCTGCAGTCTTTGCCGCCGCTGCACGCTTATGTTGTTTTGAATCCTGGGTGTACATAGGGTGCTTAATACAATGTAGTGTTTTACTGCATCAATATGGTATTACAACAGTGAAATCAGCCACTGGGCCCATCCTTCAGTTCTGCAGTTCTCACGTTACCCCGAAGGTCCTGCTGTGGTTGCTTGTCGGGATTGTGCTGTCACTTGGATGGTGCTAGTGGTGATTGTTCACCTTCCCATAGCCATGCTGCTGTGAGCTGTCTGATAGCTCTTTCCTTTTGTACAGCCCAGTGAATTGATCTCACTGAAACCTGTCGCTGACCTGCTGCTCTGAGATGAAGAAAAAATCAGTAGTCACTTCCCTAGCAATCCACATCTGACAAAGTAGGCATATAAAATGGGCTGTCATAAATGAGTTTAATGCCTGGATCACTTGGCGTAAAAGTAGCCTTAATTTTCTTACCTAATCCAATACTGATTCACTTCTTGCACTGTTTTCTATCTTTAGCCTGTTCAGTCCATGGTGTGGTCCTGAGGACTGGAATAAAAAAAGCAAGACAAATCACTTGCCTCCTGATACCCCCTAGTACAGGGAAGCTTTAGGAATGGTGCATTAGAGTTGTGGAGATAGTTGCTTTTGGTGAATGAAGTCAAATCTAGAGCTTACATGATTTTACACCTTACACTTGCCTGACCATGTTATTCTGCCCACTGAAAAGGGCTGAGGGGGTAGCTGGAGGAGCCAGAGATTTGTATGTTTGTTACTGGAAGGGGGACTTCAGCCAGAGCTTTAGTTTCTGAAGTGAGCGAGTAAAGTGTGCTTTACAGATCACTTCTCTGTAAGAGTGTGGTGGTTTTGTGTTTTAACAGTCCGAATAGACTTTCTGAGGAAATGCAAGCAAGCCGGGCTTCTGGATGACATATTTGAAGAAATGCTGGACACGCTTCACCTTGCGCAGGAAAAACTGATGGATGACAACACTTCAGAAACAGGTATGGAGACCCACAGGGGAACTCTGCTTTCAGAGCAGAAATGCTGATCTGAACGCCAGGCGCTTGGCCCTGGGCCGCTTTCCTGAGGATACCTCTGTAGTGCCAAGTAGCTGGGCCCTGCCTTATTTCTGCACCTGCACAGCGGGTGGAGAGTGAGTATCTATTGGTATGCCCATGTCAGCAGAGGGGAAGAGCTGCCAACTCAGCTCTAGGAAGGTCTTCTGACTTGGAATTTTTGAAGCCACCTTTTACCCGTTGGCAGAAGCACAGGGGGATTCAGCCTGACCTCTTCTCCCAGGCACTGTAGGAGAGAGAGGTCCTGAAGGGAACCAGAAGGTTTTATTTGGATCGTAAGTCTGTGTTGTTCTTACAGCCTCATAGAGGGACCAGCTATCTGTTAATATTGGCACACTCTTTTGAGGGGAAAATCCCTGAGTATGTACATTTTAAGTCTTGGGATGATTAGTTAGAACTTTATTGTCAACTGATTTCATTAGTTTAAGTATCAGCTTGTATGAAGCACTTTGTTCTTGGAGGATCCCACTCTAATTCTGCTTTGTCCATAACACAGTTAAAGAAAATGTCAAACCTTCCTCTGCTGTTGTCCTCCCAGCTGTACGAAGTTATGAATAATTCCTTTGGATAAAGAATGCTAATTTATGCAAAGTAACTGAAGCAGGTGCATGGGAAGTGAAATGTCCCACCTGGCTAAATCTTCCTCATGAGCAGCCTGCATGTAACATGAGAGCAGCTGCTAGAAACAGTCGTGAAGTCCAGGACACATTAGGGATTCAGAGGTCTTCACCATTAAAGAAACCTCCGAATGGTCATGCAAACTCTGTAGGCATTTTGTATTTTGTTTCATTGGAAGCCTCATTTATGAAACTGAAGCATAATTCTGGGCTGGTTTTTAACATTGAACAGTGATAGCACTGTCCCATGTGTCAAATGATCTGCCAAGAGGAACTGCTGTGGTCAGCCCTGCCGTTACATGTACAGTCCTGACACAATGGAATGAAATATGACTTAAGTATATTGCTGATTTTTTTTAAATGGACTGTTCATGTGGTGCAGACCCGAAAAGGGAATTGCAGGTAGGTCCCCTTTCCTATTTTCTGTATGAAACTTAAAAGTAGAATTGACAATTTGACCCTTCTTTTGCAGTATAGATGAGAAGGATGACATCTTAAAACCTCAAGCAATCAGTATGTTACAAAATAAGTAATTACTGTTCTGTGCTACTTCTGATGTAGGGCTCCGCATTAGCGCCAGGGTTCTGTAAACCTTTACTTGGAAATATTAAATCAAATTATCTCTTTCCCCAGAGTATGAAGAGACAGTAATGTCACTCTTTGACTGTGGACTGTTTGAAAATATACTGACAAATATTCATTCAGGTATGTGAAAAAAGCTGTCAGAGCAGTAGCAGTTGATACGGTTTTTAGCATTGAGGTTATTCTTCTGAGCATTTTGATAAAATGACCATTTAAAATGAAAATTCCAAGGAATTTTTTTCTCTACATTCTAAAAATAATTGAATAAAAGCCATGGCTACCTATATCTTTAGAAATACAGTATGTCAAATCTGGCTGGTTGACCTGAAGGGGGAAGCAAGTGAGAGTTCCACAGCTTTTAAAGACCAATAGGTTTCTGCCCCAGAGGAACTTCCTTCTCCTGCAGGGTGCACTCACATCCTGTTCCTGCAGGTTATTTCCCCTCCTCCTCTGCATCCTCCCTTCAGCAGTTCGCCTGCCTTGCGGCTCTGTCCCGTTCTGATGAACGCTGTTCAGACTTGCTGCTGTGATTCAGTTCAGAGCATTAGACACTATGAGCAGAACTTACCTGGGCCTGATGGTGATTGTAACACACTTTGGGAAAAACAAGCTGAGAATGCTCAGAGTGAAATGAAAACAAGGGCAGGAGCGGTTGCTTGTGACCACCAGCGTGGAAGGAAATTCTGGGGCTTGGACTCCAGTCTCAGCTATTGTAAGCAACAAGGTTAAAACTGTTTTTCAGGTAGGCGAGTCTCTGGCTCCCATTTCCCTCTCTAACAGTTAGCAGCCTTGTTCTAACTTCTGCTTTAATTTATCCCTGTGAAAAGGGAAATGTGCTTTAATTAGCTGATACTGAGGTTCAGTGTGTGAAGGTGATGTTTGCTGTTTCCCCTTCACTCGACTGGAAAGCCGGGCTCCTCTCTTCAGTCTCCTGTTCTCGCATTTAAATTCCTCTTTCGGAAATGGGAGTGACTGGTGTTGCAGCGTTATCTGACCCAAGGTTCCACCGGTGCCTCATCTGAGGGCATTAAAACATCTCCGCTCATAACTCCTCTTGTGATGCAACCTTGGATCACACTTGTTTTTCACAGCTGCATCCATTATTTCATTCGCTTCTTGGCTTACACAAGAAATTCTTGATATTGGCACCTCCGTACGCACAACCGTGTGATTCTCGTGTAAAAGTTGTCCCCTCTGCAATTCCCCACTACTTGAGCAGCTCAGTTCTTCCTGTACCACACAACCTTCTTTTCTGAGGCCATCAGCCTACTTTTAATTTCAAGGTCAATAATGAAAACACACATCAAGGTTGGTTCCAAAACTGATCCAAGAGGAGCTCTTAAAATGAGCCAGTCAGAACGGAATGAAAACCACCTTAGTTACAAGTGAAACTGTAGGGAGGGAAGGAAATCACCAGCTTTTTTCCTTTTTTTTTTTTTTTTCTTGATCCTAATCTATCTAGGACTAAATAAAGTAGGACCAATATAAATACTATGCCTTCTTTGATCTTTCTCCTGGAACTGATGATTTGGGGTCATCTGACATGTTTTACCTTCAGTCCATTTTTTCATTTTATCTTTTTTTCACTTCTTGGATTGTCATGCAAAACCTGTTCTAAAGCCTTATGTGTCAGCACAGCAAGGTTACTCTGAACTGTAACTGTTGATACTGCTTTTTAAAATCCCTTTTGTATAAAAGATAAACGGTTCTTTTTCAGCATGCAGCTTTACTGTGAACTTGACTGCATTTAAAACATTTCATACAGGACCTGCTATTGCCTCATCAGTAATTTCAAATTTCAGGGTTGGAGGTTCTCGTTCTCTTCCCCAAGGAAAAGCGACTTCCTTTGGTTTTGCTTTTGCTTTCTGTTCTGTTGCTGTGTGTTCTGCTTGGGCCGATACCTCAGTCGGCTTTGGTCTCCTCTTTGCTGGTCAGCAGTCTGTCCAGTAGCACTTGTTGTCTGGGGATCTGTGGCAGTGAATTCTGCAATTCAGTTGTTCCGGCAAAAGTGGCGATACTTCGTTTTGAAACCGTTGTGCAGTACCTTCACCGAGAGCCCCTTGTTACTTATGGGAGAGCGAGTGCAGTCATTCCAGGTCCACGCTCCTCAGGACATTCACAATTTTACAGGAATACATCACTGATGTCTTTCTCTGGGCTACTTGCCATGTTCTTTTGGAGGAAGAGAAATGGAGCCGTATGCTGAACACAGTAACACAATCGTCATGTTTGCTCTTTGTTTCTGATGATTTATTAATTGGTATCCAAATATTCTGAGAGTTTTTCCTCCAGCTCCCACTTGTACGTGTCCAGCTTTTTCTTCAAATATGTGCCTGGCTAGTTCTGGAGCCGTATGCTGAACACAGTAACACAATCGTCATGTTTGCTCTTTGTTTCTGATGATTTATTAATTGGTATCCAAATATTCTGAGAGTTTTCCTCCAGCTCCCACTTGTACATGTCCAGCTTTTTCTTCAAATATGTGCCCAGCTAGTTCTTTTAACTGCATAGACTTGATACCACATGGGCATGCCATGCAGTCTGCCTGCGGCAAGCAACGAAGCCAACTATTTCCATTGTGGTCTTGTCAACTGTTGAGCTGAGGCTGTGGAACAAGTGGGCGCAGACTAGGGTGGGACAGTGATGGGATGTCCTGTCAAATGTAAGTGACACCTGACTGCGGAGGACAGCAGAGAGAAGGGGGGTCAGCTGTGGATTTTTTCAGTCAGAGCTAGGGCAAGCGGTCAAGTTGCTTTTTAATGAGCCACTACCTGGACACTTCAACAGGTGCTGGACACCACCATCGTTCTGGCTGCTCGTTTGCAGCATCCACACTCACTGGGTAATGTATTTAAAAATGCATTGTAAAAGTGTGTGCGCATACATAATCTTCCATATATGCACATAAGCAGCAGCAGCAGTGATGGGCTTTCTGAACAAAGAGGAAGAACGGGGGGAGGCAGAAAGCCAAAGACTTTTTTTTTTAAAAAAAAGAAAAAAATCAGTTAAGGGTAGTTCAAGCTCTGTAATTCAGAATGAACAGTGGAAATGCTTGGAGCTACTTTCCCACTCTACCCACTACAACTATGGAGACCTTCAATGTCCCCCCCCGCCCCCAAAAAAAGAGAAAACTATATTCAGGTTTGTATCAAACACCTTTTGCTTCTTACTAAAATCTTAACTGACATTCTTGCACGCTGTGAGGAAATCTTGTTTGTTGTTGACAGACTGACTTTGCTGCTCAGAGGTCACCTCTGTGTGTTTTGTTATTGAACAAAGCAAGTGCTTCATTTGAAACTTGGAATTAAGAACATAAGGTTTTGGTAACACTCACTGACTTCAATAATCTTTAAAATTAGGAAACCGGAAGCAGTAGAGAAGCAGAAACCCAGCCAGGCAGGGCTTTGCAAATACAGTAAAGAACTTGGGTAATCCCATCAGCATACTGGCAATAACTGTTTTGCCAGGAACAGGAATATTAAGTGCTTGAGTCATATTTTTGAGAATTAGCTGTTGAATGCAGTTGTCCAAACCATCTCTTTTTAGGTTTAATTTTGTTGTTGGCTAAAATCCATTAGGCTTGTAAATATGCTTTAAGTGTGTAATTCAGAGATATTATCTTAAAAGATTTAAAATGCATCTTTATTGGAGGAGTCTCCATACAAATGGATTCTGAAAATGGAACTGTTAAAGTTCCTGTGCCAAGTAACACTGGGTTAGTAACTAATAACTTTCTCATTTGCTGTGATACTTTAAATCTATAATGGAGCTAGTTTTGAGATGACAGTGTAGAGATGACAAAGTATGTAACTCTACTGCTTTGGGTTTTTCTTTTGACACTTCAGCTAGTCTCTTCTGTACAACTTGCAGTCCATCTCTTAATGCAGAAACCAAGTGGACAAGGTCTTAGGCTAAAGACTCTGCTCAGGATGGTAGAGGTTTTACTGTAGGTTAAACTAAGCATTGGTAGCCTCTGCAGCATTAATGCATATATAACATGTGTTTTAAATTAGTTATGTATGAATAAAAGCTTTTATCCCTCTCTTTCTTAATAGGAACAGAGGAAAAAATCCAGGAACTTCTGGAAAGCAGAAGACAACTGGATAACAAGATTGAGCTACTGCAGGACTTGAAAGAAGTTGTCCTTCCTCCCCAAGAGAACACTGCTAGTACATCTAGTACAGTGTCCGAATAACCCCTGAGTCTGTCTGTAATGGTGTCAATATTTAGGATTTTCTAATGATAGGAACCATAGAGCACGTCTGGTCAGTGTCTAAGTAATTCCCCTCTCCCCCCCAAGACAGGGACACAAGCGAGAACTGGGTGTTTTACTCATTTTTATACCTCACTGTTGCAATAATTTTAAGTTGTCCCTTGCTTTATATTTTACCATGGATCAATGAGTGTTATACACCAAATTTAGCTTTTTTAAAAGCTCAACAACCCCTGTGATGAAGATTTTTTTTCTCTCAAAGGAGCATCGGCTGACCCAGAGCACTTGTTCAAGTCACTTTAACTGTGGGAGTCCTCTTCTGACTGTGCAGTAGCTGCTGCTTCGCTGTCTGCATCGAGACAGCGATGTTTTAAGGGTCACATTGCTGCTTTGGCTTTCCAAAGAAGATAAATTAGCAGAACTTGCACTCAAAGAAGCCTTCTGAATTATAAACAGGAGTTTGGGTTTGTTTGTTTGTTTTTTTAAATTAAATGATTCTTGACTGCTTAATGTATAACTAATTCTGCTGTAAGGGCAGTGGTGAAACAGTGTTTGCAGGCAGACTAGAAACGGTTGGGCATCATATTCTAAACATGTACACTGTAAAAGAGATCAAACAATGGACTGCCTTTCTCCATTAAGAAAGGATATGACTTCCACATGTTTTGTCTTAAAAAAAAGTTTGAATATAGAAAAGCATTGTTTAGCTACAAAAGGGTAAGTTAATGAAATAAAATGTTTTTAAGAAAGCTGTATATTTAGTCATACTCACTAGCCCCACTGTTGCATGGGACACAGCTGAGGAGGGGGTATGCTGTCACACCATCGTTTAACTACACCTTGCCTCACATTAGCAAGGGTAGCAGGACAAGAGTGATCCAGTGCCCTTCTGCTTGTGTCAAGCACCACTTGTCACGAGAGGCTGCAGCACCATCCTGTACAAACAGCTGTACTTGCTCCATGACTAGTAATAACTCATAACTTGAGCTTCTTCTATGTGAAGGTGGCAATCAGTAAGGACAGAATAACAGCTTTCAAAACATAAGCTCTTGGGGTAGACCTATTAGTGGTATCCAATAGAATAAAACAGCAGTATTTTTACTTGCTCATACAGCTCAGGTCTGCTGGCTGGCTAGGACTAGAACCACCACCTGTTTACTGCCTGAGCCAAGGACTTAAGCATCATTCACAGCTAGTCTGCCTAGCTAACTCCCACCTAAAACAGAAGTGTATTAACATGGAGCATGAATTTCTCTGTTATTAGGGCACAAAGACAGATACAAATCTATGGGAAAGCCAAAAAAAAAGCTCGCATGAGTTTGCTTCCCCCCCCAGCAGCAATTTGAATTACTGAGAAGCTTCAGGTCCTGTCCTCTTCTGTTCCACTCCCTGCCAAGCTCGACCTTTAGTCTACAGTTTGCAATCATAACAAGTTTTTATTAGAAACACTTATGACACATTTGAAAGTGTTTTGTCAGACTCAATGTCATGCTACAGAAGCTCCCTGGCATCTCTCAACTATAAAAAACTCTAAGCTTTGCAAAATTTAGCAAAGCCGCAACCCCCAAAAGTTAGACCTGTAGTCAACCTAAACTTCACATCTGAAGTTCCAGGTTGTATTTGGTGCAGCTGCAACACCTTAAAAGCACACAGTAAAAATAGTTGGTGTATATGTCCATACATACCTGCTGTAAGGTTAGAGTCATATATGGACTTACTAGTGAAAAAAAAAAATCAGATCCATAGCTTGTAATAACTGGGATCTCAATTACTGCCTACACAGGAATCTGCTGTTTCCTGAGCTTGAGATGACAGGTATGTGTCAAGCACAGTGAAATCACAAGATTCAGTAGTACGTAGTCTGTGAGGTAGGTTTGGTTTGGGGTTTTGCGGTTTGGTTTTGTTTGGTTTTTTGGTGTTTTTTTTTTTTTTTTAAATCAACTTACATGCTATATGTAACACAAAAAACCCTGCAATTTTCTTCAAAGTCCAAAGAAGTTCACTAGTGAACAGGTACAAAAAAGTGAATTTTATTACATGTAGTTTAAATTTATACAACACTTAAATGCAACCCCCCCCCTTCCAGAACAGTGTATCCATTCCCCTCCCAGGGAACCAATGTAATCTGAAGTCACCAAAGAGGGGATTTTTTCCATTAACTGTTATAAATATTGCTTGATACACAAGTACACGTTACAACTTATATTAAGGTATACTCAAATATAGAGGTTTACTTCCAATTTGATTTGCTAGTTACCCCTTTCTTCAAAAAGTCACTTGCATAGGCTTGAAGGATATATTATTTTTGCACACTTTCCTAAGCACCAGATACACTTGCTTAATTACACACAGCAAATGGCAAATTCATTCACACTCATGCAAATGCAGTAAGAAATATCCATGCCATTTGCTTCTTTATAATCCCAGGGAGTTAATAATTTAAGTGACATCATTCAGTGGCTCAGGTTGCACTATTCTCCAACCCCAAAAAGTAAATTGAAAGTATTAACAGGTGGTGCTAGAACTGAGGTTTCCTAGGCTACAAAGGTAAGTCCTTAACACCGGCTGGCATCCTTTGCACACTGCAGCGTTTCCTCTCTCTGTCTGAAATCTTGAGCTGGTTCCACCATCCAGGTTCGCTAAATGCAAGTGAGTATTTTGCTTGACGTTTTAACAACAGTTCACTGAAGCACAGAAAACATTTGTTTTTCACTGCAGCCTCTTACACTTTCTGGTCCAAGAGACCAGGTAACACTTGCTTTTACCTGTACAGTTATGACATCTTGTTAAAACTGCAAAAAAAACCCCTACAAACACCTGTAACTTACAGCCTCATTTCAGTTCTTAAAGGCTCCACATTTACTGGCTTTAGCAATGAATTCCTTTAGCAGGGGACCATCCATTTGCCAAAATGCTGTAGTTTGTGTCACTTCCGTCAAATGATTGACACAAAACTTAAAGCAGAACTCCTCTAAGTCCTAAACAGGAAAAGAAAAAAGAAAAGACTCTTATTATCTTTGCTTCCATCACAGAAAATTACATTCAGGCACAAATGCCTGTATATGCTTTAATTTTTTTTGCAGAGAATTAGACAAACACATTAACCCAGTGGCTCTCAGTGGTTTTCCCTTCACACAGTCACTATGTAAATGCAACAGAAAATAATTTTACCCATATAACATGATTACAAGGGGAAAAGTAACCATAATATGTTTCTAACTATAAAGCTGCAGTCACAAAGATCAGCTGTTTTCTGAGCAATATATATTTTAAATTTTCCCACTTGAAGAGTTTCATCTGCATTCACTGACAGCTATTAAACTTAATACAAATAGGAATCTTGGGGTAATGGTATATAACCAGAACTGTGGATTAAGAAAAATCAGCTCTTTAGTTCCATAATATAACTCAAATCTACACGTAAATTTGCCTGGCTTCCTGCTTAGTTAAGGGCTTAACTAAGGCCTTGAAGCTGCATGTCACCAGGCTCAATGCAAGCATACACTAACTCAATAGTTTTAAAGCAAAGTTTATGCAGAAGGCCTTTCTGTGTGTTAGAAACAGATTTGTGTTACAAAGTATTTCACAGATGTTCCAAAAATGATTCACAAAAAAATACTGTGGCACAATACAGCATAGCAATTCTTGCAGAAAGTGGACTCTGGATATTTGAGTCTACTTGGAAGTGCCTTCAATTTAATGATTAGAAAAGCCTTACAACCGTCATTGTGCCCACATGATGTGCAAGAGAAAGGATGTTTAGAAAAAAAAAAAGAAAAAGAACCAAGACACAGCCATTGTCAATACAAGGTTGACCACAGACTGCTTTCCACTCAGATTATTTGTTTCCAACTTCTCTTTTGAGGAGGAAATCTACTCTTGGTGGCACAGATCTTAGCTGCTATAAAGAGGATGCTGCAGCCCTTCCAAAATAGCAACTCCTCACTCTGTTCTAAGTTCTTTCTTAGAAGTTTGCAGAACTAGTACTTTATACATGAGAACACAATCTTCATTAGCTGCTCAGCAGACTGGGCACTACATAAGGCCTAACAAATTTGCAGAGCTCTTTAAGCCACATGAGGTATGAAAGACTGATTAATATTAATGTTTTCACTTGAGGTCAATACTGAAAGCTAGAGCAACTGTGTGCCAGTGCAAGTTCTTGACACAACAATAATATAAAAATATATCCTGGCCTAAAACCAGGCATTCTGAAGCTGCAGATCTTGACTTGTGTGGCATCTGTGCAACAAAAAAAGACAAGCTTATTAGAACTGAACACTGATGGTTTTCTTTTTTAAAACAACAGAATGAACTAGCATTTTAAACAAAATTACATCATACACATTACAATATTTTGCACTGCTTTATTAAAAAATTCATATTCCAAGTCAATGCAACAGAATCATAAAATAAACAGAAATACTATAGTATTAGTAAGTAACTTTGGATAAATTTAAAGTTCTGTATAAAAAAAGGTTGAATTTCATTTGCAGATGGATGTGCTCCCAGCAAACTGTAATTAATATAGACTTAAGTGAATAAAGGCACGAGGTACATCCCATGATTATTTTAAAAGCTACAATAAAAAGCCAGACCTGACCTAATTCTAGCCACTTCAATTCAGTCAGTCGCCAAAAGAAATAAAGTATAGCAGAGTTTCATGTCATGGAGGTATTTTAAATTAGCGAAGCAGCTTCTTTTTAACTGTTATCTTGCAGATGCACAATCCCTTGAATGAACTACATCACTCAAGCAATTTCAAGCCCCCATCTAGCATTACTACAAGTAAAAATAACTTTTTACTAAAACCCAACCCCTCAGTGTCTCCCATTCTCTCCTTGATGTAGCACTTAAGCCTACTGTTTTAACTTCACTTCTAACTTCATTTAGCTAGTGAGGTACAGCCAAGGCATACTAACTGGATTTCTTCTACCCTTTATGAGCTGAATCAATCACATACTGAAGATGCATCCTGCAAAAAATCTTTTAAGGCTAAAATATGGAAATCTTCCTATTTTCCATGAACTCCCACCAAAGAAATCATCATTCACAGTAGAGCTGAAGCGACAATTCAGACACTAACACACTGTACCTTTGGGTAAGGTATATCAAACAAGCAACATGCTACAAGGCTCTGAAATAAGTTAGGGCATCTACATGCCAATTGCTGGATATTAAGTACAAGAAAAAGCAATGAGTTGATTTACTGAGTACCAAAACTGCTTTATAAGCATAAGTAGCAAGTTAAAAATTAACCAATGGCAAAGTTGCAAACATGATGCACAGATACTATGCTGAACACAAATAGCCGAAGCAAGTCCAGGAATACTTCCTGATTCATGAAGCAGCATGTTAGTTATCTAGTAGTGAAATCAAATATGATGCAGTAGGGAAGTTTCACTAGCCTTCCCCCCTTTTCACACAGTTTCTCTGTCAAAATTTATTAGGCCCATAAAGCAGTTCTCCTTCCATTTCATTAGCATACTATGAAGACTGGAATTGTATCTGATGTAGCTAAACAAAATAAACAAACAAAAGCCAACAAAACACTTCACCAACCAAAAAAACCCAATGCACTCAATCCCCAAACCTACCACCATATGACATCGCACATACCACACAACCTTACAAATAAGTAACTTAAGGACTACAAGGCTGCTTTTCAAAATGTTGTGTTTTGCTTTGTATTTAAACCTTTCCCTTGTTTCAGAGTTAGTGTTTTCATCCTCAGAAAGTTTTTGTTACAGTTTCCCCCTCCCAGAAATAGTAATTCATGAAGCTTGGCACAGCATCATAACCTTTTACCATAAAATTAAGCAATGCAAGCATTTACAGATAATAAGTCTCCACCTGTGACTTAAGTAATCTTTAGATATCTATGGACTAGTTCACCTTCCCGGTAGTGGTTTATGGGGAAAGAAGAAGAAAAAAAAAAAAAGAAGGAAAAAATTATCTCTCTCATTGCAAATACAGTTTTTATAAGTCCAACATTCTCAAATTCTGAAAATGGCAAATAGTATTATCTGATAGTAAGCAAGACAGAGTTTATATGAAAATAACTAGCTGCTTTTCTCCATAGTTTAAGTCAGAAAGCAGCCACCTAGTTAAGAGATTGAAGTTCAGAAGTTTACCTCTGCATCATATCTGACAGCAGCAGAGAGCAATGAAAATGCATTTTCCACAGTAATTCCTCTCTTGATAATGTGTTGACACAGTTTTTTCAGTCTATTTTCACAGTACGAAGTAGCCAAATCCAGAAGTCCTGCAATTAAAACACCATCATATTAGTCAGTTGTAACGATCTCTTTTCTTTCAAGAAGTTAATGCTCCTGGGGTACAGTCTGCATCTGTATTCTGTGTGCAATGTTCTGTATGTCTACAACGTGCTTTTTCCAAGTAGGTCACTACTCAGAAAAACGTATTTTACCACTACACAGGAAGAAAGGCTTTTTATTACCTCAATCCTGTTAATCTCTGTAAATATGCAAGCTGTTCCACTGATTTGCATACCTGATTACGAGAGTAGAACTGTCATAAACAGGCACCACAACACGAGCAAAAAAGCTACCACTATAAAAATCTGTGCTCGGATCTTGAATTACAGCTTGTTCTTTGCTCTGCTGTCCAAGTTTCCCCTATTAGATCTACTGAGATTCTTTCATATTATCCTAAACAACAATTGACTCAATTTAATAAAATATACAAGTATTTCAACCCAGAGAAACAGTTTCTCTCTCAACCTTGAAAAAATTGCTCATAGTTTATTTCTAAATATGCACCTCTTTTGCTATAGTTTGCTACAACAGTATTTTAAAGTCAGCTTAATTAATCACCAGTAAAATGCATTGTAGGCTAGACTACAAGCCTATATTAATACAGTTATTCTGCATCCCATCTCAGTTTTTCTGGATGCTGCTTTCTAACATAATTGGACCATAAGCAATACCTATTGCATCTTCAGGCGGAAGGTCAACACTGTCTGTATACAAGTACTCAAGAAAGGCACGATACACAGGATAAGAAAATTGGTCTATTTCTATCACTTCCTTCATATCCTCATTCCAGTATGACTGGAACATGGTTCTGAAGTGTTCACACCTAAGAGACAAAGACATCATCTGGAACACTATTATATGAACATGTGAATGTTACATTACAGTCCCCCTAAAATACGTATTTGGTACACTCTGCAATGTTCACAAATATTTTATCATACCCCATCACAGCCAGTGGTCCACATTTTGGTTCTTAAACTGTGGGCATCGTTAAACTTGTGCATCGAGATAAAACTCTTACTTGATCTCTGCTACAGAAACATCTGTTTATACATTGCAATCAGACCCACTTAACAGAATTTATTATCCTGGAAACAACAAATAAGCATAGTGAAAATTGAATATGGGTTATTTTAAGAAAGAGTTGAACATGGACCATTTTAGGACAGAGTTTTGATTCAACTCCTTTTACAGTCACTTCATTTAAAGTGATTATGGATACACAGATATTACAGGTTTAAGGGTCCCTCACTACCCCTTACTTTCCCCCCCTCCCTTAGATGTGATACTGTATAAACAAGAGCTGTGAAATGTGACCACTACCTGATTTTCAGAACAGCTTTATGGACATGGATGTATTTTCCATCCACACGGAACTTTAGGTCTGAGGTTTCTAGGCTGTCAAACTCTTTCTTCAGAGATTCTGCTACTGTTAAAAAGTCTTCATGCTCTACAGAAACAATTTTAAAACAAACAAAACAAGCACGTTAAGCATCTTAAACAGAACACATACATCCCTAAACAAAGCTAGCAGCTCAGCTAAGAGCATGTCAAGGAAAATAGGTCAGTACCAGGGCTCCATTGGCTTAAGGGATGAAATGGGAAGAATGAATTAATTCAATACCATTTCCTGTTGGAAAGGACTGCTCCACAACAGTCACAGGCAACAGTGGTCAGCAGTACCTGGAGAACTTCCTTTCTTATTCTCCGCCTGGGCACCACCCATGAAATTGCCAGTGTCCTGACAGCTCAGTGCGAGTGCTGGGTCGGCTCAGCTCTGCCAACTGCAAACTGGTCTCTGCAGCTAACCTCCAAACTGCTGGTAATGGGTGTCTACAGCATCACCTGCAACTCACTTGAGACACGGTGTACGGTATTTTGGCCGCAATGACACAGTGTGATCTGAGCCTAAATAGTAAAAAAAAATGTCACCAGCTGGCCGCTTTTTTGTGCTGGCAGATTGGATATAGCCTGCAGGTTGTCTGTTAAGGTCTTTGCCAGGGCTTACTAACGTGAACTACAACTGACACCATTATATTCAGTTTATTAGTCAGTTGTGACAACACAAAATCCAACAGCAGTGCTGCTGAAGAAGAGAAACTGTACCAAGAACACAGTATCTACTACCAAGGACACAGGACTTCAGCAATTTTGGAAGTGGATTAAAGCTGAGATATCACAGCTCTTTGACAGTTCTTTATATTGAGGCCTATGGCACTGGTCCCACAGAGGTCCCATTCTCTGTCTCTAGAAATCATACGAGAGTTGCAGCACAAGTTGGCCTAAGGCTTGTGGTAAAACAACAACTCTGAAGTTTCAGAAAACCTAATTTAACCCACTATTTGAAGCTTCTGTTGATGCATCTTAAAAGCGTGTTTCAAAACGTGGCTTCTGAGAAGCAAAGTACGGAAAAGAAAAATAAGTGGATTTCCACTATAATGGGATGTGGTCTCCTGCATCCCACAGGACTGCATGTTGTTCATCCATATACAATCCACAAATTACTCTTCATCATTAAGGACAGCTAAATTAGTTGGTTTTTAAAAAAGAAATACTGCTATAATGAACTGCTGTAACAGACAAGTCGTTTTTGTGCCACGAAAGACCATACACTCCTCCGGTTTACATGGATCATCCAAAGAACCTGCATCTCATCACAGCTAACTAAATCATGCTCCAATTCCCCCCCATTTGCTCATGTGGTTTTTTTCTAGGTCATCAGCTTAGCTTAAGCTATGCAGTAGATTAACTTTCACTCCAAATACCTTAAGTTCATTCCTCAAAAAAGGCTGCAGATTTGTACTTCACCACAGCCAATCATAGAATCATAGAATGGTTTGGGT